ATATGCATCATTATACATATACTAATAAACTCTGCATCCATATTAGAAGATCCCAATCTATATTTTATAATAAAGGGTGATGCAAATCCCTTTAAATCTTTATACAATGTGCAAAATATTATTCTTAAGATGTTTTATGGAAAAAGAGTGATTTACATATTTTAAAGTGCTCTTATATTATAAAGGTGACATAAACATTTCCCATTAAAGTGTTTTAAGTGCTTATATGGTGTTATTTAGGTTTCCACAATAGTATTCAAGAGTATGCCATTTCAAAAACTAAAAGAGAAAATTAATAAAGTAGTATCCTTACTAAAAATGCATATAATTTGGCAAAATACACCTGTATCAAATTTATATAAAAATAATATTTCCTTCCCTTTTCTTCTTTCTTTTCCTTTGTTTCTTAATTCATGAAATGACATAACTCAAAGTCTTGATTTAAGCCATGGGGTGCCATAGTGTTAAAATTGAAAATAAATCTCATTTCTTCTATTCCTATTTTCCTGATGTAATCTCCTCCTCTCCAATCTTTCTTAACCAATTTTATTGCACAAAAGAACAATCCTTTAGGATCTTGGTTATGGAATATCTTAAAATGGTTGGAGACACCATGTGACTCCAATCCATTTTTTATATTCCTCGTGTGTTCTGCTATTCTCGTATTTAAGCATCTAATCGTTCTTCCTACATATAGGAGATTACACTGACACTTCAGAACATAAATAACCCCTTTGGAGTAGCAAGTTAAATGATCTCGGATTTGAAATTTTTGATTTATCCAAGGTTCCATATCTATTATATGACGCTTCCTACTTTTAGTATTTCTGCATGCTAGGCACTGACCACAACCATAGAAGCCTTTATTTTGTCTTTGGAAATTTTTTTCCACCAAACTTTGTTTATCACTACTTTGTACTAAAGTGCTTTTTAAATTTTTTGCTCCCCTGTAAATGATCTTAGGTCTTACTGATAAGATATTTTTTAAGACTGGATCGTCTTGCAAGATGTGCCAATGTTTACTTATAATTTTATTAACTTTTTTATAGTTCCCATTAAAGTTACAAATAAATGGGACATCGTTGTTCCATTTTTGTTTCCCCTTTTTATCTTTATATGTTAAAAGGTTCTTTCTTGGTATTGTGCGGACATCTTCTAGAGATGTCTGTAGATCTATTTCTGCATATCCTTTTTGGAGAAATTGGGTCTTTATCCTTTCTGCCTGTAATAGGTAGTCTTCATCATTGGTGCAATTGCGCCTAATTCTTAAAAATTGTCCTCTAGGTGCGTTCCTTAACCAGGGTGTGTAGTGACAGCTCTCTTTCCGAATGTATCCATTTGCATCCACATCTTTGAAATGATTCTTTGTGTTAATGCAAGTGTTCGTGATTTTAATATCAAGATCTAAAAAATGTATACTTTCCTCACTTATTTGCGCCGTTAAAACAATATTCCAATCATTTTTATTTAAAAATGTGATAAAAACATCTAGCTCTGTCCTAGTTCCCGTCCAGATGAAAAATATATCGTCGATGAAACGACGATAGCACACCAAGTCCGCTACCCAGGTATGTCTTCCAAATACAAACTTCTCTTCCCAGTATGCCATGAATAGATTCGCATAACTGGGAGCGAACTTGGTGCCCATCGCCGTTCCTCGAATTTGAAGATAAAAAATATCTTGAAACCAGAAAAAGTTGTTTGTTAAAATCAGGTGAATACCTTCTAAAATATATAAAATCTGTTCCTCTTTAAAATTATGTTTCCTTAAAAAATATTGCACAGCTTCCAATCCAATCTTGTGTGGTATGATGCTATAAAGAGAGGTTACGTCACACGTAACTAAAAAATTGCCCTCTTTCCAAGTTATCTCTTCTAAAAGCTTCAAAATATGTATGGTGTCTTTTAGATAAGCGGGATTGCATACAACCAAAGGTTGCAACAATTTGTCTAAGTATTCTGATATCTTCGCTGAGACGGAGTCAATTCCGGATATTATTGGTCTACCCGGTGGATTCCTCCTATCTTTGTGTATCTTTGGTAAATGGTAGTAAACCGGAGTTTTAGGGTGCGGAGTAGATAAATACTTGGCTTCATCTATTGTTAGTATTTCCTTTTCTAAACCTTTCTTGATATATTCCTCAAACTTCTTTTTTATCTCCTCAATTGGATTTTTCTCCAATTTTTGATATGTAAGAGGGTCAGACAAAATTCGTTCGGCTTCTTGCACATAACTTGACCTTGAGGATATAACAACCCCCCCCCCCCTTATCTGCCGGTTTAATAACCATCTCTTTATTCTGTTTTAATTCCTTGACCACATTCTTTTCTTTATTTGACATATTGTACTGGTATTTATTCAATGGCCTAATTTGTCTTATCTCCTTCGTGACCATTAATTCAAATGCTTTAATTTCATCAGAGATGAGGTTTATTAGGAAAAAAGTTGGATTTTGTTTTTAAATCCGTATGTTTATACTCTGATATCACCTCTTCCTTTTCATTCTGAGTTTCCCTTTGATTAGCAAAAATTTTCTTTAGACATAAATGTCTAATAAATTTATTAACATCTATGAACAGATCAAATTTATTCAAATCTGCGGTAGGGGCAAATTTTAGACCTTTCTGTAAAACTCCCATTGTCTCTTTAGATAATTCTTGGTCTGTCAAATTAAAGATACCTTCTGCATTTATCTCTTGCCTCTCTTCTCTCTGTATCTCATTTCTTCTCCTTCCTCGGTTTCTCTTTCTTGTGTTGTTGATCTCCTGCGTTTGCCTGGGGATTCCCATACATTGATTTGCTGTGTTTGTTTCAATCTCTCCTTGATTGGGTCTTTCCGAAAAAAAGAAGATGTGGGATCTTGGTTGGGGATTTGTGATGGTACATATCTCTCTTCTACTTTCTTCCTCTGTACATTTGGAGAATGTCTTCTTCTTTCTCTTTCTTCTTTACTGGTTTCACCCTTATTTAACTTGCTACTCCAAAGGGGTTATTTATGTTCTGAAGTGTCAGTGTAATCTCCTATATGTAGGAAGAACGATTAGATGCTTAAATACGAGAATAGCAGAACACACGAGGAATATAAAAAATGGATTGGAGTCACATGGTGTCTCCAACCATTTTAAGATATTCCATAACCAAGATCCTAAAGGATTGTTCTTTTGTGCAATAAAATTGGTTAAGAAAGATTGGAGAGGAGGAGATTACATCAGGAAAATAGGAATAGAAGAAATGAGATTTATTTTCAATTTTAACACTATGGCACCCCATGGCTTAAATCAAGACTTTGAGTTATGTCATTTCATGAATTAAGAAACAAAGGAAAAGAAAGAAGAAAAGGGAAGGAAATATTATTTTTATATAAATTTGATACAGGTGTATTTTGCCAAATTATATGCATTTTTAGTAAGGATACTACTTTATTAATTTTCTCTTTTAGTTTTTGAAATGGCATACTCTTGAATACTATTGTGGAAACCTAAATAACACCATATAAGCACTTAAAAGCACTTCAATATATAAAAACACTTTAATGGGAAATGTTTATGTCACCTTTATAATATAAGAGCACTTTAAAATATGTAAATCACTCTTTTTCCATAAAACATCTTAAGAATAATATTTTGCACATTGTATAAAGATTTAAAGGGATTTGCATCACCCTTTATTATAAAATATAGATTGGGATCTTCTAATATGGATGCAGAGTTTATTAGTATATGTATAATGATGCATATAGTAGATTTCCACACTAATGACACACTAATATAGTACATTGATACATATAAATACGTGAAAAATAAATTGTCAGAGTGAATTGAATGAAAGGAATGGAGGATGATGCCGGTGGAGCGCATTATGCGTTCCAGTTGACCGAGACCAGCACCCGGAAGTGACGAAACAGGAAATGGTATGATTGGAACGCATGATGCGTTCCAACCGGATAAGGCACTAACCCGGAAGTGACGGAGCAGGAAATTACATCATTGGAACGCATAATTGCGCTCCACGAAAGCGAAAACCGGAACCCGGAAGTGAAATTGAGCGGACTGTTTAAATAACTGAAAAGACTAAACAGTGGACAATTTAGCCGACTGAGGAAGCCTGTTGTACCAGGCGAAACGCGTTTTGGCGATTACTAAGGACTATATAGCCCCATTTAAAGTTGTTACATTTTATTTTTGATTTTATTTGTTAATTCTTTTCTTTTATAAAGATTTTTATTATTAATAAAGCACCAACCTTTTAGAAACCTATTTTTGACCTGACGTCTTTTGGTCTGGAAGTTGGTTAAAGGTGGTTACAGACGGAATCCTACAAGAAAGAAGGATCTGGACATCCTAAATTGGTCCAAAGGCACACATCATCTGAGTCATATGAAACTATGACTCCAGGCTTGTGAGTGGAATACCTGCTACATATATACTTTCAATTTTATTTACTGTATTACACTATGGTTTTTATTCTATTTTACAGAATATCTGTTATATTGTCATTTTAAGAAGCTCCACCCGTTTTATGTATGTATAGTTATGTCAAAAGGAATTATCTTTCTGAATATTTTTTAGATTAAAAGGAATGCTGTAATATATAATCTTGACAGTAAAACATGCTAAAAATTAAAAATAAATAAGTAATTGTCATTATAAGTATAATACAAGATGTTATTATAAGATATGTACGTTGATAATTGTGCCTCTCTTCTTTTTATTATATACCCTTCCTTTTTCTTTTTTGTGAACCCCCTCTTTTTATAATCCGAAAAATAATTAAAAAGTAAATTACAAAAAAACAAAAATATTTATAAATGATCTAGAAATAAGCATTGAAAGTAATATTTCAGTGTTGGAAGTTGACATAAGACTATGTAAAGTAATACACTATGAGCAAGATATCACTTTATTAGTGCATTTTTAGTTAAATTTGGGGAAACCACTTGCTGTATTTGTTGTGTTAAGCTATTTCAATTGCTTTTGTTTGATTTGTTCTTTGCAAACAGCTGAAAGTCTGTACATTTTGTCAATAAACCTGATTTTCAATTGGGGTTAAATAATTTTGATTACAACTGTATAGAAACACACAGAAATATACACACAATATGTGAGAGGAGAATTGAGAACTATAGAACGGTTGGGGGGAAAAGACAATGTTACTTATTCAGAAATTGTATTTCTTTACAACACTCTGTTATTTTTGTAATTAAATGATTACATTAAATAATGCACATACCAAAAATGAAAACACATTTAAACATTTCTTTTCAGGACATCCAAAATACTTGAATTGTGGAGGTGTATTTTTTCACAAACCACTTGGTAGTGAAAGAGAGAAAGTACAACAGTGGCCTTGCTTTAATATTTTTGCATAAGCCTTTAAAATTATGTAATACTTTTGGATACAATTTATGGATACAATTACCCTGGTGTAGAGGTGCTCAAATGTATCATACAGTATGCATCAATGATCACCAGTCTTTACATAAAAAAACCTGAACAATGAATATCCAAAAATGTTGAGAAATGTGCAATACAAACACTCACAAACTCCCATCATAGCAGAAAATGATGCCTTATATATTGTTTTCTTCCCCAAACCAATTATATTATCAATTATGTTTCCAGAATGTAACAGCATGCAAATCATCTTTAGCCTTAGTATAATTAGGATTTAGGTTTCACTCAAAGTTAATAATAACACTGATTTACATTCTTTGCACATTAGCCTTTCCTGTGAAAGACATTGTACATTTGGCTTTACGTGCCATAATAGATTTTTCTGAATGCGTCACGTGACACACACTTATTTTATCCTATGTTGCAGGGTATCATTTTGATTTGAAGGTATTTACTAAAGATACATATTTGCTGTAACTAATGTAGTCCAAATCAATACAGAAACATAAGACTTACAGATGAACATGGCTAGTTAGATTTTATTGATGTATTTAACTACTGATTTACAAGTCTCCGAGGAGGTACCAAAGTGGGTATGAAACTCATCAGATTGATTAATTCCTTCACCCTTTAAGCCTTAACCGTGATGTTGTTTCAATAAATAATCCTCTTTTTTCTCCATACTTGTATATTGAGATGTTATTTTTCTTAATGAGAAAGGAAGGGTGAAGGATCCTGTCACATGCTAAAGGTAGGGGTGAGTTTTTCTCATTCTTTTTTTTTTTTCATACAGTTTGTTTAAAAAAAAATCTATTCCATACTTGATGAAAGTATTATTATATAAAAAAAAATATTTATGAGTTAACAGTTGTCTTTAAATAGTTCAAAAAATATAAGCCTCTGGTGGTCAATATCACCCACAGGGGAAGGTTTATTCCTTACCATGCCGTGTCATGTGTGCTAAGCAGAAATAAAAAAAATGGCAAATGGGCAGCTCCCAATCACAAGTAATTTGTCTTGCACCCCCCTTGTGCCCCATATCACTGTCCCCTGCACCCTCTCAAAGCCTGTGGGTGGGGAATGGAGCATTAATATTGACAAGAGTATCTAATGTCCCCCACCCTAACCACCACACATGGGTGCTGGATGGTGGACATGCCGTTGTCCAATCCCCAATAAACAGTAGGCTTTTCAAGCCTTTAGTATCCATTTAAATTAAAAACTTCCTAGCCCATTAAATTAATACCTGTAAAAGTTTTTAAAAATCATACATACCAATTTTCTTTCTTCTAAAAGCGCTGCACTCAGCTCATTAAATAGGGATTTTAGTCCATCTATGGTAAAAATTGGGATGAACAGGGTAAAATTCCTGCTCACACCAAGGAGACCCAGGTATCAATAGACACCTGGGCTCTTCTCTGTCAGCTGGGGCCATATTCAGTCTCCCCAGATTGACAGATGAGCAGCATGCAGCACTCACAGTGGGCACTGCATACATTCCTTTAAACCAATTGAAGACACAGTGGGAAACATGCTTTCCTGTAATATTGAAACCAGCTAATAGATGGTGGTCAGTTACCACTCTCCACTGTTTCAACCAGGAAATTGGTGTTCTGACATCAGTACTTATATCAGCAGAGGGTTTCCCTAGGGTTAGATGTAGGGTTAGCTATTAGGTCAGTACCAGGTTAATGGTGGTTTATTGTTAATGCTGTGTTGAGGTTAGGGATAGTATAGGGTTATGGTTAGCAGTAAGGTTAGGGAAGGTTAGGTTAGGTATATGGTTAGCGTTAGTGTAAGCACAGGGTTATGGGTAAGGTATTATTATTATTATTATTATTGCCATTTATATAGCGCCAACAGATTCCATAATGCTTTAAAATATTATGAGAGGGGGGATTTAACTAGAAATAGGCAAATTACAAGAAAACTTACAGGAACAATAGGTTGAAGAGGATCCTGCTCAAATGAGCTTACAGTCTATAGGAGGTGCGGTATAAAACACATTAGGACAGGAAATAGCAATCAAATAAGGTGGGAGTGAAGCAGAATTGGAGGAGAGAGTAAAGTGCTGCCCTTTAGGAGAGAGCAAGAGACAGGTATGTGAGGTAGAGGTTACTCTGGGAGGCCATAGGCTTTAGATACAGTGTTAGTAAGGGGTTGATATAGGGTTATCATTAAGGTATATTATGCTTATATTTGAGGCTATTAACAATCAGCTATCCATCAATGTTGAGCTGTTTTTATTTAGTTGCACAGGATGTGTAAAAATTATTATAAGCACAAATGTGAAAGAAATATTTTGTTCACGTTTTTTTATTCAAACATATCAGACATTAAAAGAAATCCTGTTCTGTCCTTTAAAAAGATTTAAAAAAAAAAATAATAATAAAAAAAAATTATATATATATATATATATATATAATAAAAAAAAACTATAAAATATATATAATATTTATGGGAGCACTTAAAGTTTCTTTTATTTTCCAGAACTTGTACACATGACTCTGTTCTTAAGTGGTTAATGCAGTATGTATCAATCTTGAATCAATTTCACATGTTGAATTGTTTTAAAGTATCATATGAACATGTTTTTTTCCTCCAAGAGGGTAATTTAGTTATTTGCTGATAAGATTACTTTAATATATTTATATAGCTATTTTATTACATGGATACCCTACATACCATGACCAAGCAAAGACATTGCATTAAACTACCAAAGAGGCAGATAAGTAAGTATTTCATATTTTTCTGAAACCTCTTTTGTAATGCAAAACAAAACACAAAATATATCAAATTCACAGAATCTAATCAAAATGTGATAAGCAATCTTTTCTTTATAGCTACTTCAAATTCTAATTGAAACAGTGCCAGGCTGTAGTGTACATTGAATGTGATTTGTTTTTATATTAGTCTATGTTTGGTGTACAAAACATAAAAAAAGGAAACCAAGTTATCTAACTCATATGCATACTTTAAATTTTATTGAAAACGAATGAAATCACATGTATTTTCTATAGATAGTTGTCCTTGCGTTATATTTAAGGCTGCATTGTAGGAAAAAATGTGTATGGACTTTGAAAGCCATATTCTAATAATATTTATATATATTTTTTTTTTTATAAACCTTTTATCTACCAATAAATACTCTTATATAAGAGGTATGCATCCATACACTCTATGTGTGTATAATTGCATAACAAAATGTGTTGCTTTGCCAAATGTGCATTTAGTTAGTCTTATCAGCAACAGATGAAAGTAACATCTCTAGCAACTGCCCAAGCAGTGAACAGATTCTGATTGAGCTAGACTGACTTGTCAAAGAACATTTACCAGCACAGATCATTGACCAACATGGCCCAAGTGGATATTGTTTCAAAATCCAGTTTGAGTTGTTATATTTACTGCTACCAGCTTCAAGAGAACTCCACCCCTATATTCAGGCAATTGGCCAATTACACATTATGTTGTTATTAACCTCTTTATTGTATCTTCCATTACATATCATGATTTGTTAATTATCTGCTATCTCCTATCCATCTGCAGAGGAACAAGGAGTATTTAACCTTTTAAGGACACATGACGGAAATATTTCATCATGATCCCCTTTTATTCCAGAAGTTATGTCCTTAAGGGGTTAAAACTCAGTCTGTTGATAATATATTTGCACTCCTAATGATCTTGTAGGTTATAAAATATATAAGGGTCTCTGTTTCTCTTCATTAAATAGGGAACTTATAACATACTGAGTAGTCATAATAGCCTCTCAGCTATTTGATTGTGATCTTGATACAACTCACTAATCTCTGAACAGACCATGAAAGGGGCACTCCATGTATCAAAACAACTTCATTTAAATGAAGTTGTTATTGTGCTAGGAGGCCCCTGGACACACTCTCATCTTCAGGGGTTAAACCATTATCTTAATTAACCCCCAGATGGCATCGGGCTTCTGAAATTTCAGTACACCACTGATTGGTTGAGAGTGGTCAGCTGGCACTCTCAGCCAATCAGTGTCTCCCCATTCACAAAATGACCTGAAAAAGTGTTTGCCCAAGCCAGTTTTGTGAATGGGGAGTCAGCTGACCTCTCTCAATTAATGGGGCCCTTGCTCGGAGGCACTCTGTGCTTCCTGAAACTGTAAATGTGATAAACTGGATGCCACCGGGGAGGGGGGTTAAGATCGGCACTGGAGGCAACTTTAGGAGTGGAATAACCCCTGAAGGCAAGAGTGTTCCCAGGGGCATTCTGGTACCATAACAAGTTAATTTAGATGAATCTGTTATGGTGCCTTCTGCCTAGATTGAAGTTGCTTTTTCTCATTTGTTTTTTTTTTAAATCAAACTTAAAAAAACATTTAAATATATTGAATACAAAATAATATTGTGTCTGTGTATTTGCCAGGAATTTGGCTAGCACATGGAAGACATGTGTGGAGGAAATGCTATATTCCTATTGTTGTTTTTATGTTGTAAGGAATTTGGGAGACTAAGCTTGCCAATGGAAATTAAGATGCACATACACATGCTCTGTGTCAAAACAATTTGACTCTGGAAGTTAACAATTTTGCTTCTTGAACGTGCTCCAACAATGGACAAGAACTTGGATGAACTTAAAAGGAATTGCATTAAAGAAGCGATTGCATTCACACGTTTTTTGCAAGCTGACAGTATTTAATTAAGACAGGATCAATGTTTCTGTCTACACTTGTACCATCATCTTGATCCTTTTAATTTAATCATCAATATCAAAAGAACAAAGGTTTAGTGCAGGTGTAGAAACTGCTATGGTAAGCAGCCTCTTATCTTATATTGTGCAAAGATAGTGTACCACATTAGTCCTATAGAAACACATTATTAGAACAGCCAACGTTGGCTGGGTTTTTGTATTTACCAATCGGGCACTGAAAATAAATATGTAGGTTTGTAAAAATTGCTTATGATTGTGTTTGTTAAATCTAAATTAAGGCTTAGAACAGCTAAATGATAGAGTAGAGATACATTTTATGTATGGGTATTTACTTTCTAATTCTTCGTAGAAATAAATGTTTTTTTGACATGCGGTGCAGAAGGAAGGTTAAGTGAAAACGTTCCCCTTAACCAAATGTTCCTTGAAGTCACAAGAGATTTTCAAAAGCTAGACACTAATACATCCCGTAATTAAGAAATAATGGGCTTTCCGAAGTGATTTATTTCCATAGATTTAATGTCAGTACTGAAAAGCTCCAGTTTAAATTGTTGCAGACCTCAAGTGTAACAATGTGATAAATCACCTATGAGACCAATAAGAATAAACACAAAAGACCAGGCTGAATGTTTGTGGCTTTTATTAAAATAATAATAATAATTAAATAGAAAAAAAAAATTGTTTCTGAAATCTAAACATTACTCGAAAATCACTTACATGCTGAGATTTTGTTGCCAACACAGAAATATTGTAATTTACATGAAATGTCTCATTTGGATATTCTAAAGAATAAGGAATCTGATATTTATTTTGCACGAGTCCAAGTTTCATTACAACAAAGATGCATATCACATCCCACACGTATTTTTGTTTTATTGGATAGTTAGAGTTTATTATTTTATCATAATGAACCAAAATACTAGATCGATTAATAGATCTGTCTGTCTGTCTAAAGAACTGAATACACATATACTTTCCTAAGGTATGCTACAACATGTCAAAAACCTGAATAAGCAAATACTTGGCATGCATTAAACATTCGCTCTTGAAGTGGCTATTAAAATAATAGCAGTTGGGGGCGGGGCCTGACAGCCAAAATGGCCGGACGTGCTCTCTAAGAGCTCTTACACCGGAGGGCACAAAAACGATAATCCTGGCAAGCCGAATTAAGCCAACAGCCCACGGTGTCCAGAAACCGATATAGAACCACACGAGGAACAAAACGGTACAGGTCATGCACCACAGCGATTCACGAGCACATGTACCGGCCATGCGGCCTATACTGCAGAGGAGCCTGAAGCCTGGAGGAGGCGGCCGATCGCCCGGCAAGGGACCTGCTTGCAAGCGAGAACTACAAGATGCCCAGCTACCCCCCCCCCCTCTGGACCGGTGGGGGATATCCCGGTCCTCGCTGGGGACGATTACCCCAACAGCAAGACACGAACAAGCGACAACACATGCGGGTAAACGGGACTGCCAAGGCCCAAACAAGATGGCGCCACAGGCGCGACAGGCGACAAAAGGCTCCCCTACCAAACCACCTCTTCACACGTTGAACTTCTTTGAACGTCTCTGCACCAGCCTATGGTATGGGCTCCGCAATAGGCGCCGGCTCTTCAAACAAGCGAGAAAAGAAGCGGCGGCATGGATTCGTCCTGCCACCCGACGCCTATTGAGTGGTTGCCCGACCCGAGTCCCCAAAAGGGCCCTCAGACAGAGAAGAGGCGGGAGTTCAGAATGGGGGAGAGAGGAGAACGGCTCCCCAGGCTCCAACAATAGTAACCACATATGGCAGCACAAAATAGCCACACACACCCGACCAACTCACCGCCCAGCGGCATCTGAAGCTTCTGACCATTGCAGCATGTCCCCACACTTCTGGACACACGCTGAACACTCATACCAAGCACCTATCACCCCGGGGGCGACCCGGCACCAGCAGCAAGGTACAGCCAAAAGACCCCATCAACTCCTGCACATTCAACGATCGCAAACAGAGATCCAGGGGCACAGACAACGGGGAGCTGTGGGACCACATCTTTCCCAAAGACTGGACCGTGATCTGCCCCTCACAGGCATAGGCTAAGCTGAGCTGACAAGTGGAATTCTCTGGGAATTACTATTGTCCAAATATGTTTTTCTTCGGAACGCTGATTTGATTTTTATTTATTTATTTTTTAATTATTTTTCTTTTCATGTGATTATACCAGCAGTCCTGATAGCTGATATATCTCTTTTCTTGACTCTCGATTGATAATGCCTTTATCTACCACCCCAAGGGGGCCCCCTAGGGTGAGCATGCTGACAGCCCAGAAATAAGCAATACGTTTTCTCCATATCTTAATATGCTGTTTCAATGTGGTTTAGCACCCCTTTACTGTGGTCATCCCACTGCAGCTTCAGACTACAGTGCTACTTAAACCCAAGAGCAAGCAGCTCAGACCCATTGTGGGACAGGGAAAACACAGGGAGCATAGTGGGGTATTGGTCTACTTAAATAAGCGTGTATTGCATAGCACCCCAAAGTTCTAGCCATATACAAACCGAATCAAAAGTATGCCTCCTCACCATAGTTTTACTCGTCCCATAGCACTCAAACCTATACCAGTTCTAGTAACCCCTCGCAGTTGGTTTAGCCTGTCTTGAACCCGCGCATAGTTGCCAAACATTACGTACCCAAAGTTATGCATGTCTAACTGTGAATGCTTCTAAATAAGTTATGATTAACAGATACTATCTGCTACTAATCTATGTTAAACAAGACTTCATCTCCTAACTAAAAATTGTGCAAGTGCCAATGTATACTCCATTGTTACTGATGTTTGCAAAGCATTAGGATTGCCTTTGGGGTACCCCGTGCACATATGTTATTCCAAATGCACTGCAAAAATAAAGAATTTAAAAAAAATAAAAATAATAGCAGTTAAAAAAACTATAAAAAAACAACAGGAAAGCTATTATCTGAGCAGGTACACCAACTTGTGAGGACATCGACTGGCAGATATCAATTTTCAACTTATTTATAGCAATTGTCTAATGGGTAAAACAAAAGTCATAAGTTTTACAAAGTTTTGATGAAGTCATTTAAAGATGCTTTTTTTGTACATATGAAATCCATATGAAATCCACAAAATTCTAATCAATGTTCTCATCGTTTTTCAACTTAACAATTGTTTTTTTTTTTTGTCTTAATAACCATTTATTCTAACATTAATCCCTCTAGCTTGCTCAGAGTAGATTTGTTTCAATTAAAGGGACACTATAGTCACGAGAACAACTACAGTTCTGGTGAGTATAATAGCTCCCTTCAGGCATTTTCATGTAAACACTGCCTTGTCAGAAAAAAGGCAGTGTTTACATTGCCCCTAGGGACACCTCTTAGTAGCCACTGGAAGGGCTTCCTAGCTCAGGGCTGCACAGTAAGCAGCCCTGCCGTTCAGTGTCCCCACGCTCTGCATGGAGAAGTTGAATTTTCCTCATAGAGATGCATTGATTCAAAACGTCATTTGGCCCGGCCTTGTGCAGATTTTAGCCAATCCAATTGATTGGCTAAAAATTGGCCATCCTGATGATGTCACAAAGGGGGCGGAGCCAGCGCTGGCAGACCCGCCCGGCGCTGCAAATAAGGTGAGTTTAAACTTTTATAGGTGGGCTAAAGTGCGGGGCAAGCCACCTAAATGGTGGGTTTAGCACTATAGGGTCAAGAACACATGTTTGTGTTCCTGACCCTATAGTGATCATTTAATCCCTTTTCACCCACCTCTGATACATGCACTCCTTACATTGGATGTCAAAATCTTTCAAAAACAATTTAAATGATCCCAACACAGAAAACTACTTTTTTTTTTTTCCTTTTCCCTCATGTTCAACTTGCACAGTGGAATGATTTCCATCAGACTAACTCCAACAAGATTTGAGAGCATTCACCATTGTACAAAACAATACTCACACATCATCAGTCAAAAAGCAAATACTTCATCTCCACCCCATATCTTCCCCTAACCTTGCTATAAGGCACCTCTATCCAAAAAGTTCACTACACTCTTTGATTCACTTGACACTAAACCTTTCCTTGGTATTCACGTATTCATTTTCAAGATTTGTCCAATACATCTTAAATCTTCACTAGCTCACAATGCAAAGATTGGTGGCATGTTCACACAGCAACCAAAATATGTAGTCAATTACTCTTGTATGAATAGGTTAAGAATAGGAGCATAAGCAGTTTAGATTGCAAGTATTAGTAAATTGTGAGGCATATATTTCATATAAAAGAATTTAGGTTTTCATTTTTTAGCATTAGATAGTGTGGTTATGTAAAACATATAACATAGACAATGTCAAAGTAATTAAAATGTTTACTTGTATCTACGTGTGTATGGTGTATACAAATTTGATATGGAATTCTCCTTTAATTATCACAGTTAACAACTTTACTCGAAAAAGTGTGTTTTGCTTTGCATATGCAAGAAATTGTGGTTTTATATCACAACATTCAGTTACTATGTAGTACTGAGAAAACTATTTGGCCTAGGGGTAGTTTGGCATGCAAGTAGATATGGTGTGGTTATGCAAATGTTTCATTGTGAGATAGGTGAGATGACTTAATATTATCCAACATCTTTTTTTTTTTTTTTTTTTAACACAAATGTTCACACTTTAAAACGACAATATAAACCAGTCAGAGATTACCTTGGCTACTATTACTGTTTTGAAACACAATAGCAATTTTATATAACTATAGAAGATATACTGGAAACTTAAAATACACACGGTGAGCTAGATCCAAGGACCCTCTCCCCCCCTGGATGAGCAAAAGACCAGAAGAGCTGGGGGGTTGATGACCTAAGGGGGCCACAAACTAAAATAGAGATCAGATGAGTTATAGGTCCAGGATCCAGTCCTTTTGCCTAATAAAAGGTGTTAATATCCCAATAAGAGAATAATGCAAATTTTACAACCAATGAGTAAAGAAAACAATGAGCTTCACTCACCTCGTAAATCAAGATTCAAAGAACATCAGCAAAGGTAATAATCCAAAGAAACTAGACACAATTACACAGCTGTCATTACTCTTGTGAAACAAAAAATAACGTTAAAGGACAAGTAAATTAACCCCTTAAGGACACAGCTTCAGAAGCTTGACTTACGCTTAATGACACAAGCAATTTTTGCATTTTCTTGCTGTTTGCGTTCAACTGCAATTTGCATCTCTCTCATTTATTGCACCGACACATATTATATACTGTTTTTAAAGGACAGAAAGGGCTTTAATTTGATATAACATATATATATATAAATGCTTACTTATTATAAAAAAAATACAGAAAAATGCAAAAAAAATGAAAAATATTGGGTTTTTTTTACAGTTTTTGCAATAATAATGTGTGCATAATTAGTGCAGGTTAAGGAAAGTAATTGAAAATAAATTTATTTATTTGTTCTGATTTACAGAATATATAATGTGTCTGGGATTTTAAGTTTTTTTTGGTAGTTACAGGTCACAAAGCACAAGGAGTAAAATAAAATTTTAATGTGGAGCGATTTTAGAATTTGGTATGTTTGTCTTGTAAGCTTAATAGCCATAAAAGAAAACAAAATTGCCACACAAAAGTATATATTTATATAAAGTAGACATCACGGGCTATTTACCTAAGGTTGTTTTGACACTTTCTACGTAGCCATTTCACCGCCAACCTCTGCTAAATATTGGAGTAAAATTGTGTTCTTTTTGGTTTTTGGCACACAAACTTATAACAGAGAAATTCTCGTGTATATTTTGTGAAGTTGGTGTGTGCTATTCCTGTACAAAGTTTTATTTTGTGTTCAGTTATATCTGCTGAGTAAAATGACACCCCCATTGTATGTCTTTTGCACTATTTCGTGAAGTTACAGTGCCATACAGGATACCTGTCCTTTTCAGTATTCACAGTAGAATTTTGAGAGATTAATTTAATGAGCCTTAGCTTCCATTTGGGGTATTATAACAGTTTGACTGTTCAAAAAAAACCCACAAAGGCCTACCATTTGTAAAAGTAGACACTCCAGGGTATCTTATAAGGTGCATATTGTGCCTTAACATGCCCCCATTTTTTCACCAATATATGCCAAAGTATATGGTAAAAAAAAATTTTGTGCATTTTTTACATACGGATTGCATTTTTGCTGGGCGTTTTGTATATTTCATATGTGCCACTAAGTTCAAACCCCCAAATTATGCTCAGCTAAGTCTTCTGAGTAAAATGACACCCCATATGAATGTCTTTGGCACTATTTCGTGAAGCTACAGTGCCATATAGGAGACCTGTCCTTTACAGTATTCACAGTAGAATTTTGAGAGATGGATTTAATGAGCCTTAGCTTCCATTTGGGGTATTATAACAGTTTGACTGTTCAAAAAACCCCCACAAAGGCCTACCATTTGTAAAAGTAGACACTCCAGGGTATCTCATAAGGTGCATATTGTGCCTTAACATACCCCCATTTTTTCACCAATATATGCCAAAGTATGTGGTAAAAAAATTATTTTGTGCATTTTTTACATACGGATTGCATTTTTGCTGGGCGTTTTGTATATTTCATATGTGCCACTAAGTTCAAACCTCCCAAATTATGCTCAGCTAAGTCTTTTGAGTAAAAATACACCCCAATGAATGTCTTTGTCACTATTTTGTGAAGCTACAGTGCCATATAGGAGACCAAGCCATATCCGTTTTTACCAAACTTTGAATTTTGACGCTGGGCCTATGTGCAATTTCCAAGCATCTTCGCAGGTTTTAAATTCAATCTACCCCACAAAGGCCTACCATTTCTTAAAGTAGACACCCCAGGGTGTTTCAAAAGGTATAGTTTGAACCTTAGCGTGGGATCATTTTTCCGCTAGCTTGTACCAGATGTAGTGGTAATAAGCATTTTTTCTGCCTTTTTGACATACAAAGTGAGTTTGCGCAGCATATTTTGCAAACCTTATGTGTGCTACGACTGTATAATACTTCATATGTTGCTCAGCTATGTCGGCTGAGTACAGCAATACCCCCGTATGTACCTTTGCCAGGTATGTGTGGACATGGGAGGGGCACATTTGGGACACAGCCATTCCATTTTTTTTCAAACTTTGAATTTTTATGCTGTGCCTATGTCCCATTTTAGAGTATTTTACCAGGCTATATAATCCAAATTCCCCATAAAGCCATACAATTTCTTAAAGAAGACATCCCAGGGTATTTCAAAAGGCATATTTTGAACCTCAGTGTGGGATCATTTTTCCGCTAGCTTGTACCAAGTGTAGTGGTAATAAGCATTTTTTCTGCCTTTTGACATACAAAGTGAGTTTGCGCAGCATATTTTGCAAACCTTATGTGTGCTATGACTGTATAATACTTCATATGTTGCTCAGCTATGTCGGCTGAGTACAGCAATACCCCCGTATGTACCTTTGCCAGGTATGTGTGGACATCGGAGGAGCACATTTGGGACACAGCCATTCCAGTTTTTTTCAAACTTTGAATTTTTATGCTGTGCCTATGTCCCATTTTAGAGTATTTTACCAGGCTATATAATCAAAATACCCCATAAAGTCATACCATTTCTTAAAGAAGACATCCCAGGGTATTTCAAAAGGCATATTTTGAACCTTAGTGTGGGATCATTTTTCCGCTAGCTTGTACCAAGTGTAGTGGTAATAAGCATTTTTTCTGCCTTTTTGACATACAAAGTGAGTTTGCGCAGCATATTTTACAAACCTTATGTGTACTATGACTGTATAATACTTCATATGTTGCTCAGCTATGTCGGCTGAGTACAGCAATACCCCCGTATGTACCTTTGCCAGGTATATGTGGATGTTGAAGGGGCGCATTTGAGACGCAGCCATTCAGTTTTTTCTAACTTTGAAGTTTTACGCTGTGTCCATGTTCCAATTTGGAATAGTTTAGACGGTTGGTTATTGAAACTTCCCCACAAACACATACTATTTATTAAAGAATACACTCTGGGGTAATTCAAAAGGCATATTTTGAACCTTGGCGTGGGATAATTTTTTCTCTAGTTTGTTTCAGGTGTAGTGGTAATGAGCGTTTTTAAAATGTATTTTTTTACTTTTTATAACTTTTTACTTTTAAAAACTAGTTTTTAAACTTTTGTTTTGCTTATAAATTTTTTTTAAACTTTCCTAAACTTTCTTAAAACTTTTTTACAGATTTAACATTTTTCTAAGCTTTTTTTTTTTACCGTTAACCCCTAGCTAGCAGTACGCAGCAGTAACAGTAAATTCCCCATTTTCCCATAACTCCCACCCACCCCAGCTAGCAAAATATATAGTTATAAAATATTTAAATTAATTAAATAAATTGAACCCCTGAGGGTTAAAAAAATAAATAAAAGTTAATCCACAGGGGTTAAAAAATTAGATCACAGTATAATACTGTGATCTCTATTTGATCGCTGTAGGCAGTGATCGACTGGCAGGGAAGGGGTTAATTTTTATTTGGACTAGGTAAAGTGTGTTTTTTTGTTTTTATTACTTAAATGTTATTAAAACATTTTTTTTAAGCTTAATTTTTTACTTTTTAAAGTTTCTTTTAAAACTTTTTTTTAACGTTAACCCCTAGTTAGCCTAACGTCAAATCCCCCAATTCCCCAATAACTTCCACCTACCCCAGCTATCTAAATATATAATTTAAAAATAATTTAATTAATTAATTTAATTAATTTAACCCCTGAGGGTTAAAAAAAAAAAAGAATTAACCCTCAGGGGTTAAAAAAAAAATCAGATCATAGTACAATGTAATCCCTGCCAATTGATCACTGTAGTCAGTGATCAATTGGCAAGGAAGGGGTTAATTTTTTATTAAAATGGGTAAGGGGGGGGGGGACTTTAAATAAACTTTATTTTTTTTTCCAGCAGGGGGCAGGATCAGCACTGATCCGGCTCCCTGCACTTCACACAGAACCCGGAAGTGCAGGGAGCCGGTAGGTAAGTATTCAGAGCACATGTGCTCGCTCCGACTTGTGGTCAGAGCGAGCACATGTGCTGGGCAGCTTGACCGGGTGCTCCCGGTATGGCTCCAATGCGGAGGCATACCGGGAGCACCATTAACCCCGCGATCGCCGCGATAGCGGCGATCCGGGGTTAATTTTACCGCGTGACGGACGAGGTCCGTCACCCGTCGTTAAGGGTCTCCCCTGTGTGACGGACCTCGTCCGTCACCCGTCCTGAAGGGGTTAAAAGACTTGGCTTCTTGGTGTTCTATCATATATATGTATGTGTATATGCATGTATGTATATATATATATATATATATATATATTACATTTTTACTCATATAAATAACACTGATCATGATTATCAAGTGATTATCAGGTGAGGTACTGCTATTTATTTATTGTTTTTGAGAGGGCACAGTTACCTCAATATAAATTACTCCTGCCCGTTTCAAAATATCAATCTTAAATGTGTTTTTTACTATACAATGTATATCAACATGCAATTGCCTTCAATTATGTCTGAGATGTTTTTGAAACATGATTGCTGAGATGTTTTTGACAATAGTATTTTAACAATCATTTAATGGGATTTAACCCCATCCCTCTCAATAATGTGCAAATTAAGCAAGCAATGTTAAATAAAATAATTCCCTTTTTTATTATGCTCTTTAATTTAGTACAGCTTTTTTTTTTACCCTGTTGAGAAATTAATTTCCCTGCCAGAGTTGCATTTTTTTCTCTCTTCATCTCTGCAGAGAGACTGTTAGCATACCCACATATAAGAGTACACTTTGAACGACAAACTTTAATGCTGCATTATGGCAGCAAACAAGGGGAAAGCTTTAAAAAATGCAAGTGCATGTCAGAGATTGTTTACATTCATCAATAATACTTTAAAAATAATTTGTTGCACAAATAATTGATGTAACTGTTCCTATTGTATTTGGGCATTATTTTAACATTTGGTTGACTTTTTTTTAGTAAAACGTATTTCTAAAAATTCCTTACCCATACTCATGAGTAGGGTATTTAAACATACAAGTCTAGACAAAGCAATTGCTTTGTCAGGCTATTAAAATATACTGGGACTGGATAAATGAGTAATTTGTTTCAACCTAATTTTATATTCAGAAAAGGCTAGTGCTGCAAATGCCTATTTTTTCTGAATAAGATTACTGTAATGTACTTGACTTGATTTTTATTCATCAATTGTTTGGAAAGTGCCCTGCTCGGTGACCTTTGTTAGTCAGCCTGTCAAAGGGATGCTCTAAGCAAAATATTATCACCATAACAGCTCAGTGAAGTGATTATGCTGCAAACAAGCTATGGGCAGCATCCTCTAGAATAATAGGATGAGAACATTGGGCTAACTGGTCCCCAGTATCCTCTGCCAATCACCAGTTTTGAAAAACAAATACATTTGTATATTTACATTATCACTGTGGCTAAGAGGGAGCTGTCTTTGAATGCCCAGAGAACTGCTGTGGTTTTTGTTTGTTTTGTTTGTTGCCAAAACTCTGTGATTTCACATAAATGGATGGAGCCAAGAAACAATTAGCAACATTTGAACTGTAGTGGTTGTGTAGCTTAAAATGTTCCTTAACTAAAATTAAATGTTTCACTTTATTAGAGACAAACACGAATAAAAAGAAAAAAATCTTGTAACATACAAACTATCTTTCTTTTTGGATCAACAAATAAATTATACGATTTAAGATTAAGTGTGCAATTAACAGATTATCTATATTTATTAGTACTAATCTCTTTTCCTCTGGAGTCATAAGTTTAAGGCAGTTTAAACTGCATTCATTCTAAACCAATTTGTTCAAAATTACATCAGCTGACAGTATCAATTCATTGCTTAGTGCTGGCGATTAAGGTTTTAATTTGTTTGTTTGTTTTACCCCTTAATGTTCACTTTAAAAATAAAATGTTAAAAAATGTCATATGCACTTCGGTATGACCATGCCACATTATAATTTGTGTGCACTCTCTTAGATTCATCTTGTGATACTATATGAAATAAATATTTACCTGACTCCTCTGTATTTCATGACTTTCTTTTTTGTGGTTTTTTTTTTTTGGGTGGGAGCGGGGGGGCTGGAATACTATATAATGCTGTGATATGACTTTTATTGCAACCCTTCTCTTTTTCTCAATAAAGATATGTAACCTGAATTCTGCATTAGAATAAAAATGTGGATGTGTTCAAACTTCTGCTTTCTGCTTAACCCCTCCAATATCCAAATCAAGTATGAACATTTTTTATTTTCACGCATTTTGGAGTATAAAATCTATGGTTAAATAGTTACATAGTTATCGAGTTAACTAGGTTAAAAAAAATACTAAAGTCCATCAAGTTCAACCGTGACACTCATTTTTTAATCTTGTGGAGTCAAAGGATGGCATTTTCAATTATGTCACAAAAAGGGAAAATAATAATTCTTGACTCCATTATGGCAATCAGATTTTTCCTTAGATCATAAACCTGTTTACATACATATCAATTGTATTCTTTAATATTCTGGTAATGCAAAAAAAAATTCAAGTATTTTTTTTTTTTATTTATCTATAGAACCTGATAACACAATCTCTTTAGGCAGAGAATTCCATATCTTTATTTTTCTTACTGTAAAGAACCCTTTTCCTACTGTAAGCAAGAACTCCTTTCTTCCAGTCTGAATGGGTGACCTCTTGTATAATGAACAGGTTAGCACTTTACGGTTTGTACTTACCCTGTATACATTTGTATAGTACTATCACATCCACTCTGAGTTGCCTTTTTTATAAAGAAAACAATTCCAGTTTTTCTAGCCTTTCCATTTTTTTCCATTCTCATTAGTTTTGCAGTTTGCCTCTGTACTTTTTCTAGTTCTGCAATATCCTTCTTTAAAACATGTGCCCAAAATTGCACAGCATATTTAAGTTGGGGTCTTACCATCAATTTGTAAAAAAGCAAAGTGATATTTGGATCATGCGAATAAAAAAAACATCTTTTAATATATGGAAGCACATTACCAGCTTTTGCAACAGCAGACCGTCATTGCATACTGCTGCCTAGTTTGTGATCTATAATTGTTCCCATGTGCTTTTCATTTAAAGGACCATTATAGTGTCAGGAAAACAAACGCGTTTTCCAGACAATATATAATCCATAGGTCCCCCCACCCTCAGGGCCCCCCTCCCGCTGGGCTGAAGGGGTTAAAACCCCTTTAGTCACTTACCTTTATCCAGCGCCAGGCTTCCTTGGCGCTGGTGATCTCTCCTCTCCCTCCGACGTCAGCTCCCGAGTGGAGCTCAATGCGCATGTGTGGCCAGAGCCGCGCGTGCATTAAAAACGCATATAGGAAAGCATTTCTCAATGCTTTCCTATGGACGTTCTGTGTGCTCTATGTGATTTTTGTCGGGGAAGTGCCTCTAGCGGCTGTCAGGAAGGCAGCCACTAGAGGCTGGATTAACCCTTCAATGTAAACATAGCAGTTTCTCTGAAACTGATCTGCAGGGTTAAAACCTGGGTGACCTGGCACCCAGACCACTTCATTGAGCTGAAGTGGTCTGGGTGACTATAGAGGTCCTTTAATGTTATTCCTTACTCTACCCCATTCAATGGATAATTGGCTTGTGAGTACCTTATTCCAAAATACATGACTTTACTTTTATCTGTGTTGAATGTCTTCTGCCACTAACCTGCACAGTCATCCAATTTATTCAAATTCCTCTGTAGAGAAGGTATGACTGTATCAGACTATATTTTTTACCTAGTTTTGTGTCATCTGCAAACACAGACAAATAATTTTATGGCAAGACAGGAGGCTTCATATTTGCTTATCTTTCTTTACTGAAACTCCCAGCAGCAAATAAAAAGTTAACATGAGTGTAAAAAATTCAACCAATCAGAATGCATAAAAGTAATATACAGTGCCATCATACTCCCAATTCCTCTCTCTTTGCTGCTTGCTTCCCAGGTGAGTCTATTCAGATTACATTGCCTTTGATGGTTTAGTTTGATTATTACACCTACGATATCTATACATTTATTTATGTATTTAGTTTACATTTTTACTTGTGTATCTTACATCACTTGCTCTAGGTTTCTATACCTATCACAACCTTATTTTTTTAATTGTTACCCTTCATCACTGCTGTGATTTTATTCCCTTTTTAGGTTTTTATTTGATGCCCTTTTAGGGTTTTCTTCTGCTGGGTCATTCTCAAAAATCCACGGTTTACTCTTAATTAGAGGCCTTTTTCACAAGGCCTTTCTGATTGACCTGCCTTCCCATATCCCCATATTACATGGCGGCCGCGGACTCCATTTCCCAGGGAGCTGCAACACGATTTTTGCACCCTTTTTTCTCAGGAGCTTTTCTTCCTCTGATTCGTGTCATTTCTGACTCAATCTCTCCTCTCCCTGATAGTCGCGGTGGCTATATAGCTTGTCATGCCATTTTCCTGCTTTTTCTCAACTGGCACCAACAGTCGGAGCTGTGTGCTCCTCCACGCACCCTCACAGCGGTGAGAAGTTCTATTACCCACATTTCTTCTACACTTTTGGTAATACCAATTTATCCATCTCTGATTGCATATATTCTTTTTTCCACAGATTTTTTTTACAAAGATCTGTCTGCTTCTTGTAAAGGGCTTTTTGTGGGTGACCCCCATTAACATTTATTGTCCCAATATTGATTTTTTTAGTGGATGGCCCCCACTTCATATTGTATTTGATAATTAAACTCATCTGATTTGATTACTGTGATTAACCACTTCATTAAAAATACTCTGGTGATAACACCACCTCTTGTTTTATTAACTGTGGCTGACCCCACTGTTTACATACACTGTGTAGGCTAACCCCACTAACTGTTGCTGTGGGTGACCCCCACTGTTTTACCTTATGTGGGTGACCCCCACTATCCTGTCCCACTGAGCTGCCTCATATTTATCCTATTATTGTTCTTGGGTGAACCCCAATTTTTTTAGGCAGTGTAATCCTGTGTGATAAGGTGAATGGGGTGGTCTGTGAGGGAGTCTATATCTCGACAGAATTGTTCAGAGAGGCATATGATTTTTAACCCCAGGGGGAGTGTATGTTTCTGTGTATGTAACCAGAATGAATATTTAGTTATGGGCCCCTGGGGTGGAGCATTTGGAGAGCAGGGTGGGCCAGTGCTCCACTCCGCAGTTTAGCGGTTTTCTTGGAAGACTTAGATCCAGCCCAGGGTTTTGGACTGTCTCCAACCTACTGCTCAGCTGTAGGTAATCGGCTGCAGCAGTGGGAATAAATCCCTCCCTGCTAGGCAGGTAAGGGAGAATATTTTGTTTCTCTCTGAAAGGCTGGAAGCAGCAGGCTGGCTAAATACTGGAGTGCTGAGAGTGGACAAAGACTCTAGGTTGGTGAAACCACTATTGTTTTGTTTAGTTTAACCCTGAGAGATAGGGAACCTAATGTCAGTTAGTGCTCAGATGAGCCAGGTTTTTGTTTATAGGGTTTTCTGATACATTTGTTTCATTTACTGCTGTATCCTGTGTGAACTTACAAATAAAGTGCCTGGAGTATTTGCAATTACAAGGACTGTGCATGTTTTTGCCCTAGAGGACCGTGCTACCTGCAAATAAGGATCACACCTGCTTCTACCTTTTATTAAAGTGCATTTATGTTTATCTTTGAATTCAGTGCACCCATATGCTCCCACTAGAATTGAGGTTTTATTTTCTCATTATTTCCTCATACATATTTGTCTTTTAATTGTAAGCCAACATGGTCTGAACATCCAGACCCTGCCATCTCCTCTGACTTACGTGCTTGGCTTTTCTCTACTATTGCGGAGTCAATACCCAAGGCTTTAGCCACCTTTCATGAACAAGCTTCTACTGATGCTAACCCTCCTGCACATATACCCTCCGATTCAGAGGATTCTCACCCTTCTGATCACAAAGGAGCCCCGCGCAAAGAAAAAATAGCACCTCTGCAGGCAAGGGCAAAGCTCCGGCAAAATCCCTTAAATTGTCCCTGCCACTTACTATGCAGGATAACATGGACCCTCTAGAGGATTCCACATCCCGTCTTGCTGGTCATGTTCTTGAGGATTATGGTGTTTCAGGATTCTGCCACCTCAGAGTTTGTTAAGGAGACGTTTATTACTAATCCCAAGGATGCTGGCTCAGGTAATTCTAAACCCAATGAGACTTCCTCAGACATCCTCCTGGATGCTTCCGGTCACCCATTCTTTGACCCTAGGATAATCCGGCACCCGCGCTCTGCCGAATGAGCTCCCCCATAACACACAGCCAATTTTTTGTAGAATGTGGTTACGCAAACCTTTAGAGAAGGAGATCAGGTCTAAGTTGAGGGCTGAATGCCCCAGACTAGCTATCCCAGACAAAGTTGCCTCCACACATGAATTTGACCCCATGCTGATCACCTTCTTAACTAAATCTGGCAAAGACCCTCATATGAGCATTGAACAGGGGTTGAAATCAACCCAAGACAAACTGCTAGACATTGCAGGCCCTATCATCCAAATGTTCACATTTGCAGACAAGGCACTCATTAGAAGTGAGCTTGATCCACATGCTGTGCGGGAGTGGGCTCAGAGAGCATTATATCTTCTAGGCAATGCCAATGTGGCAATCTCAACAAATTGTCAGACCAAAGGAATTTGGACCAGAAGCCAATGGCCTATAGTTTGGAGACAGTTTTTATGTAAGCACGTCTCAATCTATACCATGTTAAGCAAAGCCTTGTCCTCACTTTGTATGGTCTTTTGCTCCCAAACCCAACATTTTTCTGAGAGAGCTGGTCGCTATAAAGGCCAAGCCACCAGCATAGCAGCCTTCACAGGCTACAGGCCTAGCCCCACAGGCCATTGGGCTTCAGGACCTACCAGACCCTATCATCGACAGTTCTTAAAATAGGATCTATCTGAGGATGTGGCTCTGTCTCCCTATGCAGTCGCACTGCTTCAGGTAATACACCTTACTTATTTCAAAAATGAACCAATTGCAGGTCGATTAACCCATTTTTTCCAACAGTGGAAACAACTTTCTCGAGATCAATGGATCTTACACATGGTCAAGGGATTCAAGATAGATTTTATCACTCATCCCATGCAATACTCTCCCCCAACACAATTATGGATGTTGGAGGCAGACAATCTCACCTTAAATTTAGAGTTAAACAAACTAAGGGAGAAAAATGCCATCGAGCGGTCACCTTTCCCCTGTACCTTTCTCAGCAACAAATTCCTTGTACGGAAAAAGACTGGATCCCAATTATCAATCTGAAAGACCTGAATCAATATGTCAGATACCAACATTTCAAGAGGTCATCTTCTCAGGGACCTCCTTTGAATGGGAGACTGGTTCTCCAGATAAACAAGCCAGAGAGTATGTAACCAGAAACACAAGTTCAGTAGCAATACTAGCAAGTAAAGACCACAACAGGGCGGAGAGGAACAGGAAAGGTAAGTATTTAAATCCATAGGTTAATTCTGATTGGATAATTTCCAATCAGAATTAAGAATCACACGTGGGAGATATCTAAACCACCCACTGTGATTGAGGCACTGTGCCTTTAACGCCGGGTCAGATGACTGACCCCAGCGTTTGTTAAAATGGGCGGTCTCCCAGCGTGCAGCGTCATGCATGTTGCTGCTGGGGGACACAGAGGAAGACGTGGGCGGCATCCGTGGCTGGGAGGATGCCGCCCACCGAGCGCACGCCAGGAAGGGGACCGCGGACGGCTGGAGGGTGAGTGCCGCAAGCGGACTGCAACCTCCCCTCTCAGCTGCCCGCGGGACCCTGACTGTACCCCCCCCCCTTGAAGACCACCCGGAGGGCGGGAAGCAGAAGGCTTCAAAGGAAACCGGTCATGAAAGGAGCGGACCAAAGAGGGAGCGTGCAAATCAGAGCTCGAAACCCAAGACCGCTCCTCAGGGCCGTAACCCTTCCAATCCACCAGGTATTGCAGCTGACTCCTAGAAACACGAGAGTCGAGAAGGGCAGCCACTTCGTACATGTCACTAGAGACAGTGCGAGGGGAAACGGGCTGTCCGAGGGGACGAGAGAACCGGTTACTGCAACCTCCCCTCGCAGCTGCCCGTGGGACCCTGACACTCACTAGGAAGCCATCCCACCGCTGCCACCAGATTTGGCGGACCGCCTGGCACCCGACTGAGTGCCTCTGCCAATTGATGCTTCCTAGTGCTCACAAGTAATCCAAGCACTCCACAAGACACCATAACCACCGTAAACCCCCGCAGCCAGCGATACACATTGATTGGGGTCTCGCTGTCCTCCACACACCGTGGACCCAAGACCAGGATCCAGCTTCCAGTGGGTAGACCTCTCCCAATTCAGAGTGTAAAGCAGGATAGCTCTTACAAGAGCTAGTGAGTGTAATCCAAGGGAGTATAATGAGTATAGCAATCCCCAGAGTGAATATAGTTCTCTCCACACATGAGACGAGGCTCTATGTGTAGGGTGAAGAGGAACTTGTGACGATTACCAGGAAAACCCAAACATGCAGACAGATCACAGACACACAGATGTTGCAATACCGCTCCTTAGAATGGCTGGACAATGCAAAAGAGAGAGAGTAGTCAAAGTACAAGCCGAGGTTAAGGATAACAGAAAACAGAGTAAACGAGAAACGAGCCGAAGTCAGTAACCAGAGAATGAACAACAACACAAACGCTCTATTAGGCTATGAAAGACCACAACAGAGCACTGAGGCAAGGGGGAGGTGAACTTATATACACACAGGGTGTGTCTGATTGGCTAATTTCCAATTAGTGTTAATTAAAACACGTGGAAGGTGTCATTTCCCTCTCTTGTGATCAGTGAGGTCATCACTGTGTGCCGGGTCACATGATTGGGTCTGACACACATATAAGGAAGCTGCCTTGGAGCGTGCAGAATCAGAAACACCGTCAGGTTGGGGAGTGGCAGCAGGGACAGCCGCAAGCTGTGGATAGGAACCGGAAGCCGCGGCTCGCGGTGATGGAGAAAACAAAGACGCTGCAAGCGGCGCAGGGGCAGGGGACCTGACAGAACTTGTTTAATGGTAGCCACATGCAGCCTTATATTCAACTCCTCTTTAAGGGGTTTACTATATCATATTCCAGGGGCATTCCCCTCTGGACCTCTGGAGAGGAGACTACAGTAAAACATACACTAACTGACTGTTGCTGTACACTTCCTAATAATAGTATCAGCTACCTTAACTAAAAAAACTTGAGAAAAGACCCTAAAAATTCCCCAGCTTAAATAGCCATAACTACTGAGAAGATACAATGAATCTCCTTGCCATCACTCCACACCCTGTGTGCACTCCAAACAGTGCTATGAAATTTAAGATCAAAGAAGCATGAAACCTAACGTACGTTTCGGCGCTGCTAAAGCTCCTTTGTCAAATTGCAATTCAATGGTTAATTAATTTCTTCTGGCTGGAAGAAGATGCCTGTATTTTCTGTATTCAAGATTGCTGACTGCTAGCCTTGAGTAGCTGGCAAGCACATGTCTACCCTACCCCACCAATTTCTCCAAGAAACAGCTGCACAGAATGTAGAATGTAGAATGTAGTTAAGATATAAAAAGTCCATTATATATGTATTAAGATGAGAATGCAATAAGACAACTATGAGATACAACCATAATTAAATAGTGAGGAACTAACAACGCTATTTAGCATTTTGTAAACAAGCTTGCCAATACTGCTTCTTAACTTACTTTCAAGGACCTGCCCTCTGAACAGATTTGAAAGAATCTGTGAATTTTATGATTAGCAACATTTTGGTGGAAAACGCGACAGGCAGGATGTTTTAGCGATACTATATTGTGTACAACAATGGGTAGAGTTAACTATCTTATACCCCTGAGGAAAGTGTAAAGTGCTGGTGTGCAAAAGATATTTATAAAACCTTAAGTGTTAATTGATATCTCAAAGTGCTTACATAAGTGGAGTGGGTGTTATCCCATATGACAACCACCTATACCAATCACACACATGCATATACTCTGTACAATATGCACTGGGCAATATGCACTGTAGGTATCTGTAAAAAGGAGATGTAAAATGAGAAGCACTCCTAGTGCGATGAAGTCATTTAAAATGCATAAACAGCTAAAAACCCCTAGTAGGATAAAACTCACAAATTAGGAGTGGTGTAAGCCCCACTCAAAGCTATGGCGCTCAGGGAGGATCAGTCCCTAGAGTACGTGGGATCCATTATATGCTCTGGTGACCCAGGTAAAAGGGGTATACAAGGGATGGATAGGGGGTATAAAAAAAATATTCTTAATATTCTTAAAAAATAAATCTACAAGACAAAAATATACAAATATATATATATATATATATATATATATATATATAATAAAAAAGTAATCTTATTAAAACTATTAAAACTGTCTTAAAAAATTGCACAATTCAAAATCTTTGTTCAGACTGGATGGAGCCAAGGTGTCCAATAAATTGATCAATCGCATCTCCTCCTGTCTAATCTTCCTAATAATATCACCCCCTCTCCAATCCCTATTTACCCGTTTGATCCCAATGAATTCTAAGCCCCTAGGTTCCTGATTATGTGCTATTTTAAAATGCTCTGAGACACTATGGAATTTAAGTAAGTATATTATAGTTATTATAACAGGTGACGTGTTCCCTGATTATAAATTCTTTTTTAGTGTTCTGGGGTGTTTTGGGTTGTTCTCTGTAAAAGCTATGGAGCAAAGTATTTTTAAGATTTGGGGCACCCTGAAACATAATCTTTGGTTCAGGTGGTAATGTGTCGCCTATGTCCTTGTCAGTATTTAATATTGGCCTATATTTTCTTATTATTCGCTTGATCGCTCTATGTTGGTCATTAAAATCAAAAACTAAAACATCATTAAAAGAATCCTGGCTACTATCTTGTTTTTCTTCCCTTTGTATAAGTTCCGTCTGTGTTATTTTTTCTACTTCTTCGAGTGCTCTTGCTAAAATCTCCTCAGGGTATTGTTTCTCTCTAAATTTCTTTAAGAGGTCCTGGGCTTGTTGTTGAAACATAATCTTCTCCGTGCAGTTACGTTTGAGTCTAAGGAGTTGGCCCTTAGGTATGTTATTTAACCAGGGAGAGTAGTGACCAC